AAACAAAAACAACTTTTATCATTACGTTAGATAATGGTGAGGGTAAAAAGGTAATACAAACTTTTTTTTTTACAATTTTCTCACTCGATATTTCTTTTTCCATAAATATTATTGGTAATTTGTATCAATCATATATATATTACAATATATAAGAATATATGATAAAATTTACCACTTGAATGCTTAAATGGACATTTTTTTGACATATGAATAATACCTATTATACATTATTTTAATTCAAATATCCAAATTTAAAAAAAAATCTTATCCAAATTATCTATAATTAATTTTTTATATTTTTTCTTAAAAATAAAAATCTCAATAAATTATAATAAAATATTATAAAACTTAAAAAAATTAATCCTATTTGATTAAAATTTCACCTAAAAATATCTATTTTCAAATTTAAAATTTTCAAATCAATATTTTTATATTGGTAACTTTCCTTATAATTTTTTATTTTTTTAAATTTAAAAACACATATATCATTATATATATTTATTCAAAAGATATTTATAATCAATTTATTATACTTTGTTATCTTAATTATAATATACGCATTATATATTTTTTAAATATATAAAAAATTAAATAATATTAATTTATATTTTTAAATATATTTAAATAACTAAAGATAATCCACACACAGATAGCAAACTAGTTATTCAATATTCTCATTGCATTGCATCAATTTGTAAGTCTCCCTTCTTACCAAAAAAAAAAAAATTTCTAAGTCTCCCTTTGGTTGACTCCTCTGCTATGTATGATTGTTCCGCGTTCCTTCCCTGTCTTTTTCACTTCGTAGAATTTTTAACATAGTACAGTTGCACCCTACCAAACGAAATCCATAGATATTTTACAATTTGCTGCTTTATTCTTTTAGTATACGATTCCGCGTTGCTTGTCTTTTCTTTCGTCACTTTGTACCCCACCAAATGGAATCCAAAGACATTTTACAATTTGCTTTACTCTTTTAGTGTACCATTCCGCGTTGCGTGCGGTGGACCAAGAATATTTACTTACCGTCATACATAAAAATATTTATTGAAAAGGGAAATAGAAAGTTACTCAATATATAACTTTTATTTTTACTAATGTGTTCACAGTTATTCAATATGCGCATTGCATTGCATCAAGTTGTAAGTCTCCCTTTGCTTGACTCCTTTGCCAAACGATGGTTCCACGTTGCTTCTCTTTCTTTTTCACTTTGGAGTCTTTTTATATGTGTTCATTATTCACTTCTTTTTCCTACCGTGTTACAAACTTACATCACAAAACCTTCTTGTTCTCTGTTATGGCTTCCTCTTCCTCTGCTTCTGCTTCCTCTACTCAAGCAAAGCATCATGTTTTCCTGAGTTTTAGAGGTGAAGACACACGCAATGCCTTCCTCCGTCACCTATATGAAGCTTTTAAAAGAAAAGGAATTGGAGCTTATGTTGATTTCAACGAACTTACAAGGGGAGAGGAAATTTCTCCCGCACTGTTGGAAGCAATCGAAGAATCAATGATTTCAGTAATAGTTTTTTCGCAAAACTATGCTACTTCATCATGGTGCTTGGATGAACTCTCCAAGATAATGGAATGCAGGGATTCACGGGAACAACTTGTGGTACCCATTTTCTACCATGTTAACCCATCCGATATACGAAAACTAAAAGGGAGTTTTGAAGAAGCTTTTGTTGACCATGAAAGAAACAGGACAGACAAGGTTAAGGGGTGGAGAGATGCTTTGACCAAAGCTGCCAAATTAAGTGGGTGGACCTTTCAGGACATGAGTAAGTAGTTGTTTTTCTTACTCTAAGCTTCTTGCACCATTGGTTAACTAGTTTGATAACTCGTGCAGTGGACGAATTAATTTTATTTATTTAAATATATATGTAAATATATAAATTCATATTATTTAATTTATATATTTAAAATATATTTAAAATATAATATAAAATAAGATACCGATATAATTTAAATCATTTTTTTTAATATTGTTATATATATTTTGAATTTAAAAATAATTATATAATAAGTGATATTTTATTTTTAAATTAAAAAACAAATAATAAAGAATTGTAAGAAATTTATGAAGATAAAAATTATATTGAGATTTTAACATTACCTAAAATCTTAACTTTATATGAATATTGAATTAGATGAAAAATGTATTCTCGTGCCAATAAATATATAATATGAATATGAATATGATAGGAATAAAAACAAAAAAAAAAAAGGAGAAGAAATGGATCGCAAGATAACGTAAAATTTTAACATCATATGACTATTAGATTATATAGACAATCTATATATTACTATGTCAATTTCTTTTCTCTTAATGCATTGAATAAAAATTTAATTGAATCATAAAAAAGTTTGACATACCTTTACTATTATAATTGTGATCAAAATATTAAAAAGCATGAAAAATAGAAAAATACTATTTTTTAAAGAAGAAATAAAAGTAGTATTTACATATTTTCACTTGTGATCTTTATTTCATTTTTGCAAAAAAAAATGAAAAGAAAAGGTTAATAAACGTGTGTCAAAAGCAAAAAAAGGAATTGTATTATTTTTGTATAAAAACAAAATCATGAACAGTTGCAAATTGAATAGAAAAAACTATGCACCTCAAATCATTTATAGATTCTGGATGATAATTAAGATATTTAGATAACTTTTAAATTGATAAATATTTTTTGAATTTAAATATAACATATAAGTGATATTTATGTTTTTGAATTAAAAAAAACAAAACTAAATGAAAGTAAATATTTTTTTGAGAAATTAAATTTAAAAAAAAACTCTAAATAGATAAAATTTGAATAAAATAAAATGAATTTGTTAAATTTTAAATTTTTATTTCACTTTAATCTATTCATTTGAATTCAATATTGAATCTGGGCAGTTTTATCCATTTCTTAACTCAAAATCTAAATTGATGGAAATGTTATTTAACAATTTTTTTTGTTAATCTATTGGAATTTTTTATATTTGAATTTGAATAAAATATAATAAATATTATCTTACTTCAGATATATTTTTCTTTTTAAAAAATATGTTCTTGATTTTACACACCTATATTTTACATTTAAAAAGATACATCACTAATTCAAGATTTTTATATTTAAAAATATATATATTTAGATTATTAAAAAATTCATTTTAAATGATAAAATATCACTATATTTGAGAATTTTAAATTTAAAAAGATATTGTTTAGATCATTTGGAAGTTCATTTAAAATTTAAAGAGATAATATATCTAAATTAGATTTTGTTGGTAACAATTTAAAAGTCATTCAAATAGACATCCCTGTAAATAAATTTTTTAAATAATTTTTTACGTGTCATAAATATAAGTTATTTATATAAACATTTACATGACATATTTTATCAAATTTTTATATATTCTGTAGTATAATATTATATATGATTTCGTTTGATATTTTTGTTTTAAAAAATTTCCCTTTAGAAGCGTAAGTTTTGGTCACATAATCTTCATTACCTTAGGCCTAACTTACTCCTTTTTTTGCTTATTCGATAGGCCTGAGCCCGTAGTCATTAAGCATATTGTTCAAGATATTGGAAACAAGTTGAAACGGTTGTTTAAAGGTGATTGAGAGGCCTCAATGGAATAGTTCCACCTATGGAGCAAATCAAATCGCTATTGTGCATTGAAGAGAAGAAGGATGTTTGTATTATTGGGATATGGGGAATGGCTGGTATAGGCAAAACAACTCTTGCTCAAGCTATATCTGATGAAGTCTCTGGTGAATTTGAAAGTTGTTACTTCTTGGCAGATGTTAGAGCGACGATAGGAAAACAACGTGCAAATGCAATCACTCTGCGAGATAGATTTCTTTCCAAATTATTAAACGAGGACAGCCTCGATATCGGTGCTCCTAGAATGCCCATATTCATTAAGGATAGACTTTGTCGAAAGAGAGTTCTTCTTGTCCTTGATGATGTCAGTGAGTGGGACCAATTAGAAAATTTAGGAATTAGCCATGACCACTTTGGTTCTGGTAGTAGAATCATTGTAACATCCAGAAACAAACAAGTCCTTACAAATGGATCAGTTGATGGAATATACAAGGTTAAGAAATTAAGTCACAATGACTCTATTCGGTTCTTTTCAATGTATGCCTTCAAGCAAGACCACCTTGTTGATGATTTGAAGGATCTATCAAATAAGTTTTTAGAATATGCTAAAGGCGTTCCACTAGCTCTTAAAGTCTTGGGTTCTGCACTTTATCAGAAGAACAAAGCATATTGGACAAGTGCATTGAATGGATTAAAGCAACATTCCAATCCGGAAATTAACGATGTGCTGAAGATTAGCTATGATGGGCTGGCAGATGTAGAGGAGAAGATATTTCTTGATATCGCAATATTCTTTAAAGGGTGTGGTAGAGATAGTGTAACAAAAATCCTAGACGGTTGCTATGATGACGCTGCTCATTCTAAAATTACCGACCTTGTTGATAAATGCCTCTTAAATGTTACAATAGAGAACAAGCTTGGCATGCATGATTTGCTACAAGAAATGGGTAGGGAAATTATCCGTTCAGAATCTAAATGGCCAGAAGAACGTAGCAGATTATGGACTCCAAATGATGTTTGTAACGTGTTAAAGAATGGCAAGGTAAGAGCTAACTGAGCTAACTTTTCTTTTTTTTTTTGCTCATCTTGACTTGATAAATGTTTGATGCATTACGGTAAATTATTGTTTACCGTTGATTATAGGGGACGAAATCAGTGGAGGGAATATTATTAGACCTGTCTCAAATTAATGAAGTACAGTTACATCCACGTGCTTTCGCAAGGATGCCTAATCTTAGAATTATCAAATTCTATCATCATACTTTTTCTGGGAAGGGAGGTATGTTGGTTCCTTCGCACCAAGGTCTTAAATCTCTTCCTGATGAGTTTAGGTATTTTCATTGGGAGAATTGCATGCTGAAATCTATGCCGTCAAATTTTAGTCCGAAGAATCTTGTTGAATTAAGATTAAGTGGTCGCAATTTTGAACAACTTTGGAATGGAGATCAGGTATTCTTTAACATTTTATTTTCATAAAAAATAATATTTATTGTTTTTAATTTTTATTTTTGTAGTACCTTATAAGTTTAGAGGCTTTAAAATTTAAACTAATCTCATATTGTTTCTTCGCTTTCATTGCACAGAATCTTGAGAATTTAAGAGTGCTTGATCTTTCGTTTTGCAAGAATTTAACCAGGATCCCAAGTTTGTCAGCATCCAAAAATATTGAACAACTGGAAATTAGTTGGTGCGAAAGCTTGGTTGAACTCCCATCCATGGTTCATTTGAAATCTCTTTGCTTTAGCCTAAGCGGTTGTGGTTTAAAAAATTTGAAGAAATTTCCTGAGCTCCCACAGCATACTAAAAGGTTGATTTTAACAGACACTGCAATAGAAGAAATTCCGGAGTCAATCGGGTTTCTCCATCAACTTGCTTTTTTGGATATGAGTGGTGGCCGAATTCATAATCTTCCAAGCACTATTATTCAGTTGCATGCCCTTAAAGACATCCGACTCTGTGATTGCCCAAACATCACAAATTTTCCGATTGTTCCGGCGAAGATAGAGGTCTTATATTTGGATAACACTCCAGTAGAAGAATTTTGGACTGGAGACCAGGTATTCTTTAACATTTTATTTTCATAAAAAATAATATTTATTGTTTTTAATTTTTATTTTTGTAGTACCCTATAAGTTTAAAGGCTTTAAAGTTTAAACTAATCTCATATTGTTTCTTCGCTTTCATTGCACAGAATCTTGAGAATTTAAGAGTGCTAGATCTTCGGTTTTGCAAGAATTTAACGAGGATCCCAAGTTTGTCAGCGTCCAAAAATATTGAACAACTGGAAATTAGTGGATGCGAGAGCTTGGTTGAACTCCCATCCATGGTTCATTTGAAATCTCTTCTCTCTCGCCTAAGAGGTGAAGGGTTAACAAATTTGAAGAAATTTCCTGAGCTCCCACAGCATATTGAAGAGTTGATTTTAACAGGCACTGCAATAGAAGAAATTCCGGAGTCAATCGGGTTTCTCCATCAATTTGCATTTTTGGATATGATTGGTGGCCGAATTCGTAATATTCCAAGCACTATTATTCAGTTGCATGCCCTTAAAGACATCCGGCTCCGTGATTGCCCAAACATAAAAAATTTTCCGATTGTTCCGGAGAACATAGAGATGTTAGATTTGGATAACACTCGAATAAAAAAAGTGCCTTCATCAATCTCAAGGCTTAAAAGCCTTACTGCATTCAGGATGCGTGGCTGTACAAGGCTTAAAAGGCTTCCAACCAGCATTTGTAAGTTAAAATCTCTTATCTATTTTGATCTCTATGGCTGTTCAAACTTAGAGCGTTTCCCAGAAATATTAGAGACTATGGAATGTCTAGGCTATCGTGGTTCAGAGGAAACAGCCATAACAGTGTTATCCGCGGATATATATCGGCGTGTCTCTTTGGAATTTTTGAATCTATCTGGATCAGATATAGTGGAAATTCCTAAGAGTATCAAACAACTTCCTAATTTATGTTCTCTATGTTTAAACAATTTCAAGAACCTCAAACCATTGCCAGAACTTCCATGTTTACAAATTTTAGAGGCAGAAAACTGCAAATCTTTAAAGAGAGTTCACCAATGGAAACATCTGCAATATGTGGAAGCTCGGACATATAAATTACTTCGTCGTTCATTAATTCCTCAATCGGACGACGATTTTTTTGAATTCCATAATTGCTTCAATCTGGAAAGGGATGCAGTCAACAACATTGTGGCTAATGCTCAGCTTAAAGCTCAATGTACGGAAAAGGTGGATGCGATTGGATCTTTTGTAGCTGCTGATCGTGCTTATAGTAACTGTTTCTTTTCTTGTTTCCCTGGAAGTAAAATTCCAAAGACATTCAAGAATCGGAGTAAAAATTCTTCAATAACTGTCAAGTTGGGTCCAGCTTGTTCTAGTAAAAGAATTTTGGGCTTTCTTCTATGCATTGTGTTAATTTTAAGCGCCCTCATAAATTCAAACATTTCGATGTTGATTGCAAATGTCTATTAACAACAGAGCGCCGTGACTGTGATCCTCTCAAATTTACTCATGATTGCAATTGGAATTTCCCTTTCTGGCGAAGCTTTGATTCGAATCATGTGATCCTTTTTGGTAATGGTTTTGGAAGTGAAATCAATGAAGCATCATCCATCAGCGAGCATTTTGATGAGGCCTCCATTGAATTCTCCGTTAAAGCTGAGGATTTTAATTCCAATATTGAGCATATCAAAGTGCGAAAATGTGGTGTCAAAGTATTATATGAGGATGCTGTCAGACCCAATGACAAAAAGGTTGCGTTCAGCACTAATTACAGAGCTAATGATGAGGAAGGCCTTGATGATCCTACGACTACAACGAGACCTAGGCACAAAAGACGTTTTAGCTCTGATATTATTTAAAGTCCAGGCAATTCAGTTCCAAAGCTTTGGTAAGTCATCCTTTGATTCAATTTGTCATCACTTTTAAATCTTGGTAATTTAGAAAAAACAAAAGAATACGAAATGCTTTCAACTTTGAATCATTCAAATTTTCCTTCATGCTTTTCTTTCACATTTTGTTTCCGACCACTCTCTCATCATTCTATTTTCTCCTTTCATTTTTCTCAACTCACTATTGTATTTTTCTCCTCTGATTCAGAGATAATTTTGTTTTTCTTTTCTGAAATTTCCCGCTTTTAAAATTTTTTTTTTTTAAATTTCGTTTTGGCTCTCAAAGTAATGTAAAGTATGCAAATATTGTGGTGTTTTAGTTGGTGTTTTGTTTTATTATTACCTAATTTTCTTTTTAGATAGTAGTTGACTTCTAATTTGCATGCACCTTCCCAAAATATTTATCTGATCCACTTGCGTGCGAAATTGCTTTTGCTTATAACCTGTGCATTATCTTGATCTAGGTTTCAGTTGATGCTTTTCCTAGGATCCCTAAGAGCAGTTGGAATGTGAAAGCAAGGTCCCCTCTCCCATAAAAGGTTCTATTTTTGCCTATGTTCATTTTGCATTTTAGAATTACGACAGTATTTTGCACATTTTCTGAAACTTTCATGAAAATTCAACCTTAACTTGATGTGGCATTTTTGAAACTGCAGATCATGGATGTTTCAAGTGTCTCTTTGTCACCAATAGAAAGGGTTTTCAGAGAAATATTGGGTTTTCAAGTCTAGGTTGTGACAAATGTAATTTTTTTCCCCCCAAATTAATTATGTGCTACCTTTTCAAGCTAAATTACAGAGTTTGACTTCAATATGATGTTATGAAGCTAGAGATTTGCATCCCTTTGCTACTTACTACATGCTATGGCTGCTGCCTCTACAGTTGTAGATCATCAAGGTAAATGAGCTTCTATAACTAGTCGAAAGTGCAAGTTTTCCTTTTTCTTTTTTTCTTTTTTTTCAGAAAAATTATATGAAGCATAACATGAAATCTTTAACTATCATGTGGTCTTGAATCGTAATCAATTTCAGTGCTTGCTTAAAGCTACATCAGTGATGTAGTAAGTTTATATCATCTGATAGTCAGAACTTTGTCGTTATCATCTCACAGTAGAAAAAATAGATCACACTTGCACCATTATTGAGAATTGGGGAAATAAAAACAAAAAGAGAGAAAAAAAAAGGAAACTAGAGTTTTTTTTTTTTTTTCAATAAAAGGTTATTTTAACATCTTTAAGGAAAGTCTGAAACTTATTTACCTAAATGGGATACTCATGCTATGTCATTTTTTTTTTGTTTTCCTTTTACATACAAAATACAAGGGATTACACTTTCTCTGCTTCGATGCTTTAACTCTCCTTCAATCAAATAACAGTGGCAAGTATGAAAGGGAAAAATTTAGGTGGGTTCTTCATTTATGTGCTTCATCTCTCTTTTTCTTTTGGGGATTTGTTGTTGCCTTGAAATTAAATTCCCAAACTCTTCATCTATATGCTTAATTCCATCATAGTTTTGAATTATAGTTTTTGGGGTTTATAGTTTTGAATTGTAGATTTTTGGGTTTATGTAGTAGAAACAGCAATCACTTGTGTGGACTCGGGTTTTATATTTAGGTTGAACTAATTTTGTTAAGCTTGTTAAATGGGGTAGGTGAACTTGAGTGTTGCTATAATTCGTATGTCACATCAGTTTGGGTGGAATTCATCAGTAGCTGGATTACTGCAACCACCATTCTTTTGGGGATATGCATTGAGTCAATTGCCAGGGGTTTGCTAGCGAAGCTTTTTGGTGGAAGGTTAGTTTTTGAAGACTTTGGCTATTTAGGGCAAATGTGCTATCTTTCATATTTTCCCTGCTTGCAATACATAATATAAATTGTCATTTCAAATTCCAAAAGGTAAAAGAGAAAGTTGATAATCTTATACTTTTACCCACAATTTAAGGAATATTTTTGCTATTCACAGGCATTAATGAGCTGCTACCATCACTAGTTAGGATGCTACCTGAATTCTATGGTTTGGGCTACTTTTAAGGCTACACATTACTTGATTGTGTAAGCACATTACTTTGATGCCTTGTTGAAGATGGCCAACTGTATGGCCTAGGTTTAGTTGGATATGGCAAATGCGGACTGAAACTAATTCTAATGTAGTTGGTTTAATTGGACATGGAAAATGCACTGAACTTCAATTGTGCTAACAATACTAGCCGTTGGGTTGGTTGTGATGTTTGTTGCTATTGGTGCTATGCTGCTTGTGGTATGCAGAGGAACCTTAATCAAGCCAAGTCATAGCTTAAAGGGGCCATCTGGTACTACTGAAATGTAATTTCACTTCATGGGATGTGGTCATGCTTCAGCAACGCTTGGGTTTATTAAGGATGTGTTTTTATGCTGTGCAAAGGACTGGGGTCCAGAAACACTAACAAAGGAGCTTGATTGTGTAAAGAAGATTTTCAGGGGCAGTGATGATTCAAAGGGCAAGGAGCTGCATATCAAAGCTGATGAGCTATTCACCCGGCTCAAAAATAAAATGATTCTGCTACAGATTTATACAGCATCGTTATTCGGTTCTTCAATTGTAAGTATCTTTTATTCTGTCTATTTTTCCATGCAATCTTATTGTCATTATGCAGCATATCAAACAAATTTCATGGAAAACAGATATATTGCATCGTGATAAATGTTTTGCTAGTTTCTTCTTGGTGGCCTTGTTGTTGCATGCATTTATATTTTTCTTTTGATTACTAGGGATAATTTCTGTTCTAATATAACAGCAGTTTTTGTAACTTGCATAGCAAATGACTTATGAGTGAAGAGGAAGGGTTCCATTTATATTATTAAGTACTAGTCTTAAAACTTTTACTTACAAATATTTATGCTATTTATAGTGTTATAATGTACAGCAGAAAATATGTGCAGTGAGTTTAAGAACATAGGAATATTATAAGGCATGTATATCAAAAACATTAAAATGCCACCTTCCCTTTTTATCCTATGAAAGGAATAAATATCCCTAGCATTTCGTTATCTCATGATGAAATCTCTTGTTGAATTGGAAGCCCTGTTCCTACTCTGCTTCACTATGCTTCAGAGGCCAGTAGAAAATAGTGTTTAGTAAACAAAGTAATGGTAGTGTTTAGGTGTTTCAATTTTTTAAAATATTTTTAAAAAATATAAATGATTATTTAAAAAATCTGACATGGCATGACATGGCATGAAGTACCCCATTTATGTAAATAAATTTAAAACTATCCCTATAAAGAAATAAAGAATTAAGTTTTTGCAGTAATAGGAGGGATGACCAAGCCTTTAAAGAGCTTCAATTTTTCTTTGAGATTCTTTGCTTTGTGCCTGTGCTTGAACTGAGACTTCGAGGCACTACGAGTTCTCGACAAACCTGTCCTTTCTTCATCTTAGTCATTGTGGTTCATCATGAATTTGAACTATTTTTAAGTTCTTCTGTGTCTTCTCCGAAACTATTATAGTATTTTTCTGTAATGAATGATCATTTTCTACCTTGTTATCGGCTCTCTCAGTAGTATTCTCCAGTTTTTTTTTTTTTAATCTGTTGCCCATTGAGATATCTTAAAATTATTTTATTTAACATCTAAATTTTTTACTTTTTATATTTTCAAATTATTTTTCATGATTTTTTATTTTTTGAAATTAAAAATTATGGAACTTCACTTTTATAAAAATTTTAAAATTTTAATATTAAATGTAATAAAATCAAAATATTTTTTAAAAAATTTTATGAAAATAAAAAGTTCTCAAACAATATGAGATTGAACAAATATTAGTATTTTATTTTTAATAAAGTTTTAAATAATATAAAGATGAATAAATAATACAAAAATACGCTTTTCCGCTATGTTAGTTAGTGGTGAAGGTAAAAAACTAACATAAACTTCCCTTTTTTATAATTTTCTCACTTGATATTTCTTTTTTCCATAAATATTATCGGTATACAATTATTCAATATTCTCATTGAATTGCATCATTTTGTAATTGTCCCTTGGCTTGACTCCTTTGCTATATGATGGTTCCGCGTTGCTCCTCTTTCATTTTGACTTTGGAGTCCTTTTGGTTGTCTTCATTATGCACTTCTTTGTCTTTTTCTTACTGTATTGCGGACTTACATAACAAAACCTTCTTGTTCTCTGTTATGGCTTCCTCTTCCTCTGCTTTTGCTTCCTTCCGCCAAGCAAAGCATCATGTTTTCCTGAGTTTCAGAGGTGAAGACACACGCAATACCTTCCTCAGTCACCTATATGACGCTTTTAAAAGAAAAGGGATTGGAACTTATGCTGATTTCAAAGAACTTCCAAGGGGAGAGGAAATTTCTCCCGCCCTGTTGAAAGCAATCGAAGAATCAATGACTTCAGTAATAGTTTTTTCTCAAAACTATGCTACTTCATCATGGTGCTTGGATGAACTCTCCAAGATAATGGAGAATTATCTTATCAAATTAATGTTTAGAATAAAACAATCATAGTCGGAAAATCTTTGTGATCCATTTTGATGACATAGCACAGCTCAAAATTATATTTTAATTACCGTTGTTGTATTCTATAAAATTACAAATTTAAAATTTATAAGTCTGTAGTTTCTAAAAAAGAAAAGAAGTAGATATCAAAATATAAAATATTATAAAAAGAAAAAAAAAAAGAAAAAAATGCATTTTAACATTACCAAAAATCTTAATTTTATATGAAAAATGTATTCTCGTGCCAATAAATATATAATATGAATATGAATATGATAAGAATAAAAACAAAAAAAAAAGGAGAAGAAATGGATTGCAAGATAACATAAAATTTTAACATCATATGACTATTAGATTATATAGACAATCTATATATTACTATGTCAATTTCTTTTCTCTTAATGCATTGAATAAAAATTTAATTGAATCATAAAAAAGTTTGACATACCTTTACTATTATAATTGTGATCAAAATATTAAAAAGCATGAAAAATAGAAAAATACTATTTTTTTTAAAAAGAAATAAAAGTAGTATTTACATATTTTCACTTGTGATCTTTAAACAATTTTTGCAAAAAAATGAAAAGAAAAGGTTAATAAACGTGTGTCAAAAGCAAAAAAGAATTGTATTGTTTTTGTATGAAAACAAAATCTTGAAAAGTTGCAAATTGAATAAAAAAAACTATGCACCTCAAATCATTTATAGATACTGGATGATAATTAAGATATTTAGATAACTTTTAAATTGATAAATATTTTTTAAATTTAAATATAACATAATAAGTGATATTTATATTTTTACATTAAAAAAAACAAAACTAAAGGATCATAAAGAAATTTATGAAAGTAAATATATATTTTTTGAGAAATTAAATTAAAAAAAAACTCTAAATCGATAAAGTTTGAATAAAATAAAATGAATTTGTTAAATTTTATATTTTTATTGAAATTTAATCTATTCATTTGAATTCAATATTGAATCTGGGTAGTTTTATCCATTTCATGACTCAAAATCTAAATTGATTGAAATGTTATTTAACAATTTTTTTTGTTAATCTATTGGAAATATTTATATTTGAATTTGAATAAAATATAATAAATATGATCTTATTTCAGATATATTTTTCTTTTTTAAAAAATATGTTCTTGATTTTACACACCTATATTTTAGATTTAAAAAGATATATCACTAATTCAAGATTTTTATATTTCAAAAGATATATATTTAGATGATTAGAAAATTCATTTTAAATGATAAAATATCACTATATTTAAAAATTTTAAATTTAAAAAGATATTGTTTAGATTATTTGAAAGTTCATTTAAAATTTACAAAGATAATATATCTAAATTAGATTTTATTAGTAACAATTTAAAAGTCATTCAAATAGACATCCATGTAAGCAAATGTTTTAAGCAATTTCTTACGTGTCATGAATATAAGTTATTCATATAAACATTTAAGTGACATATCTTATCAAGTTTTTACATATTTTGTAATATAATATTATATATGATTTCGTTTGATTTTTTTATTTTAAAAAATTTCCCTTAAAAAGCGTAAGTTTTGTTCATATAATCTTCATTACCTTAGGCTTAACTTATTCCTTTTTTTGCTTATTCGATAGGCCTGAGCCTATAGTCATTGAGCATATTGTTCAAGATATTGGAAACAAGTTGAAACGGTTGTTTAAAGGTGATCGCAGAGGCCTTATTGGAATAGTTCCTCGTATGGAGCAAATCAAATCGCTATTGTGCATTGAAGAGAAGAAGGATGTTCGTATTATTGGGATATGGGGAATGCCTGGTATCGGCAAAACAACTCTTGCTCGAGCTATATATAATGAAGTCTGTGGTCAATTTGAAAGTAGTTATTTCTTGGCAGATGTTAGAGAGGAGTTAGAAAAACATGGTGCAAATGTAATCACTCTGCTGAATAGACTTCTTTCCCAATTATTAAACGAGGAAAGCCTCGATATCAATAATATGGGATCCACATTCACTAAGGATAGACTCCGTCGTAAGAGAGTTCTTGTTGTCCTTGATGATGTCAATTATTGGGACCAACTAGAAAAATTAGAAATTAGCCACGACCACTTTGGTTTTGGTAGTAGAATCATTGTAACATCTAGAGACAAACAAGTCCTTACAAATGGATCAGTTGATAGAATATATAAGGTTAAGGAATTAAGTCACAATGACTCTATTCGGCTCTTTTCTATGTATGCCTTCAAGCAAGACCACCTTGTTGATGATTTGAAGGATCTATCAAATAAGTTTTTGGAATATGCTAAAGGCTTTCCACTAGCTCTTAAAGTCTTGGGTTCTACAGTTTGTAATAAGGACATGGCATATTGGGCAAGTGCATTGAATAAATTAAAGCAAGATTCCGATCCAAAAATTCACGATGTGCTGAAGAGTAGCTTTGAAGGGCTGGAAGATGTAGAGAAGAAGATATTTCTTGATATCGCAATATTCTTTAAAGGGTGTGATAGAGATAGTGTAACAAAAATACTAGACCGTTGCTATAATGAGGCTGCTCGTTGGGGAATTACGAACCTTGTTGATAAATGCCTCTTAGATGATACAAAAGAGAACTTGTCTCTTAGCATGCATGATTTGCTACAAGAAATGGGAAGGAAAATTATCCGTTCAGAATCTGAATGGCCAGAAGAACGTAGTAGATTATGGATTCCAAGTTATGTTTGTAAAGTGTTAAAGAATGGCAAGGTAAGAGCTAACTGAACTAACTTTTTTTTTTCTTGCTTATCTTGACTTGATAAATGTTTGATGCATTACGGTAAATTATTGTTTACTGTTGATTATAGGGGACGAAATCAGTGGAGGGAATATTATTAGACCTGGCTCAAATTAATAATGAAGTACAGTTACATCCACGTGCTTTCGCAAGGATGCCTAATCTTAGAATTATCAAATTCTATCAGCCTACTTTTTCTAGGAAGGGAGGATGTTGGTTCTTTCGCACCAAGGTCTCAAATCTCTTCCTAATGCGTTAAGGTATTTTCATTGGGAGAATTGCATGCTGAAATCTATACTGTCAAATTTTAGTCCTAAGAATCTTGTTGAATTAA